CATTTGACGTAAACTTGGAATAACGTAAAGAAAAAATTGCAAAATTTCAAAATATATTTTTTTACGCATTTAATAAATTCTCATAATTTTATAGTTAAAAAAAAAAAAAAAAAAAAAAAAAAAACAAAGCGAATTTTTCACTTACCTATGGCCCCAGGGTGGTACAAAATACAAGCAACAGTGCACGCGATTATCTTGGATATTACGACGATTTAAACCGCTTTCATCCGTAAAATATTGACGAAACTATTATTTGAATAATAATAATAATAATAATTATTAGAAAATTTTATTGCACTATTCTTCTATTCTTACTCTTGTTCTTACTTGTTCATCTATGTAAGCCGTGCATACTCTCCAGCTATCCTCGCAATTGATGGCATCTCCAAAGCCCGGCGTATCGACTACAGTCAATCTTAAGCGTACTCCGCGCTCTTCAATATCCATTGTTTTCTTTTCGATACGTGTTGTCTTCTCAATCCGTTCTTCCACATTTGGTATAATGCGATTTTTATATAAATCTCCCAAAAACAAACTATTGATTAAAGTCGATTTGCCTAAACCGGATTCACCGACGACCATTAATGTGAATTCAAATCCACGCTTGACAGACTTTCGATGAACTTGTTCGGGCAGTGTTGCAAAACCAATATAATCACGTTCTTTATCGAAAGAAGGAGTTTTAGCTAAAATGAATGCGAAATGAAGAAATCAATCATAATACAAATGATTAACTTTAAACACTACTACTATTACTACTACTACTACTACTACCCTCTTTATGTGCATTATTATTATTACGATAATACGTATAGACGATAATCAATTTGAAAAAAAAGTTACAAAAACTAATAAATAAATGAATAACTAACTCTTTTAAATTCAAGTCAAGTGTAAATGCATCCATCAAGTCTCTTTGAGCATAACGTCTTAATGTGAACTTAATAATACGCTTTTACTTACCATAAAACATTTCAAACATGTTTTTAAAAGCGCTGTGCTACGGATGAATTCATTTTCACAAAAGTGCTAATTTCCTTTGTCAGAGAAAAAGTTCTCATACTCAAAGCAAACAACTTTAAATATGTCAATAGGTGCAGAAATGATTTACAATAACGCAACCAATGAAACGTACAACAATGTTATGAAATGTTTTATGAGCGAAGGTTGCTTTAATACCTAACATATCCTATCATATCCTCGACGTAAGGTGACTAAGGTAAGCAAGAACTTTGGGGCCGCGTTCTATGCAATTTTTGTGGCGAAATATTAAAATTTTTTTTCGTTTTTTTTGCATTCAACAAACAGAGTTAAGCTGTCGAGTGCTTGTTTGTGTGTGTACAGGACTTGAAACAATCCTCGAAACGTTAGACAAATATAAAAATGTTGATTGCAGTCAGTTAAATAAATTGATTTTATTGATATCATCGCTGTCTGGCTGAAGCATCTGAGAGATAAAAATTTTTTCGCTGTGAAATTTCGCAAGTAACATACATACATATTTCGAAAGTAAAAAAAAAAGAAAAAATTGGTTGCCTTCGACAAGTTCAATATTTCATTAAATGTGTTGTTATTTTTGTACGCTACACCGCTTGTCTTACAAAGGTATATTAAGTTTATCACACCCAGAAAGCCTTAAAATATAGCCCCGAATCAGAATCATCTTCTGAATATGATATAAGTGTAGCTGTTCGTCTGATGTCTGCCCCTGCTCTAGCGCAAACCCCATTGAAACAGTTTTGATTTTTGAAAAGACTTTATATGAAAGCCAATTGCAAATTTTCAATATTTCCCGACAAAAGTTACTTTCGATATTTTTTGGGCTCCTTCTCATACAGTCGTGCCTACAAAACACAGTGTCGTTATAGCCTTGTACAACTTGTGCTACAGTGTGTATTAAGCCAGCATGGACGTGTGCAACGCTCAGAAGAACTTACGATATATCCATTTCTTATAGATATATCCATCGATTCAAAATCATTTTATGCATGTGCACTTTATGAATACATTTTATGAATCGATCCAAGCTTATGTGTCCGTGTAATTTGGCCCAAGGACGAGTATTATTTGAAAATGATTTGGATTGGTCGACTTTTTCGACCATTCCCCATAGAGCGCTTTATTTGGAAAAGTCGCTATATGAACTAATTTTGCCAAATTTAGATTAGGTCAGATTGTGTTTTGAGCTTTTTGGAATTTTATCACAAAATCAATTGTCCGATTATCGGATTGTAATGGCTTTCGCGGTTTTGCAACAAACAATGCCTGCCCAGTTGACGCCAGTCCACGATATTACTGTTGCTGCAACATGCTGACGACCTTGTCTAGCATAAGATGGAAAAGTTGAATTTGTTAAGCATTCAGATTTAACGAGACGATGCCGTATGTATTCCATGAGCCTTTTTGTAAAAATGAAGTTTCTTTACTTCGTGGCATCTCTAGGCAACTTCACTTATTCCGAATGGTTGACAATGGGTGGTGTTTGTGTAAAGGCTTATTATTAGCAAATTTTTAACAAAGACTTCACCACGTCTGAAATATATTTTTTATTTCAAGACCACTTAACTAGTTGGCCTGTAAGAGAAATTTATGATAAATAAGCTACTCATGGTATGCACTTGATTAGAATTGGCGCGTGTACAAAAAAAAAAAAACCTATACAAAGACACACCCCTGATTATGTTGGAAACTTTGGTTGAATAACATAACAATTAAAAGTAAAACAAAAGCTGCATCGCAACAAAAACAACAATAATAAAAAATCAAGAGACGGCTACATGAACAACATCAACAATATAAGACAAAGGCACCCGGGAAGAACATAGACATACCTACGGCTTGTATGTACATATAAATATAAATATATATGTATACCTATACAGTTGTAGGTGTATATAAGTATACATATATATATATTACGTACACCTGCACAAATTTCTATGCCTTTAGGCAGCTTTCACTAATTTAAGATGAAATAGGAAGAAATTAAAAGGGCCAAACCCACAAAGATACACACTTACATATATGTCTTCATATAAGCACATATATGTCCATCAAATAATTATGACATTGATTATCCTTTTATGGTGACATCAACAGGATTATTATGTTCTTTTTTACTTGCTTCCTATTAAGCTCACATAGTATTATACAATATTTACATACACATATACATATGAATTTTTCTTCTTGAAAAATTGCTTTAAAAAAACTTACACATTTTCTGAGAGGATTGAAAAAACTTCCTGCAATACTTTTATTGTCTGATAAGATTTTTTTTGGGTGTCGCTGATGTTCTTTCTATTCACAGTAATCGTTAGAGAAGATTTGTTTTTTTTTTTTAAATATATTTTTTTTTTTTGGTGTTTTGTTTCTTCTTTTTGTTATCGTAGCAAAATTTTAAAATCAATAATGTTTTAAAATTCTTACAAAATATCCCCGAGTTGACGATGAACACTTTGTATGGAGTAGTACAGTATATAAGCAAATATTTTTTTATTAGATTTTATAAAACAAAATTGTTTTTTTTTTTTTCAATCGACTTCCAGTGTACGCTTTTAATCAACGAGACAACGATGAAATGATGAGACGGAAGCAGAAATATTTTTTTATTTAAATTTATATTCGTTTACTTTCTCGTGATTTTTTTTTTTTTTTTACTATTTTTTTTTTTTTTTTTTTTTTTTTTGTATTTTATTACTATTATTATTATTATTATTAAATTAATTTATATTTTTTTCTCGTTATTCATATCAATGTTTTTTTTTCCTTTTATCTCTTATTAATAACAAAATATGCAACATCAAGCAAAATATATTTGTTGATAGTTGAATATTGTTTGTGCAATATTTTTGTTATCATTCCAGTTGAAAAAGTTTGCGCATGTGTTCAACGACTTGGCCTCCCTTTTTGGAATATAATTTTTAATTTAGCTCTTAAAGAAGATTCTCTTCAAAGGATAATTGATTGATTTGAAATTTTGCTAAAAACCTTAACCAAATTAAATTTTCACCAAAATTTTCACTTTTTCCCGGTTCTATTTTCGTCAAATATAAAGTTAAATTATTTTCCTTCATATTTGCAGCATCGGTCTCAGGTTTACTTTTCTTACTCTATAGAATTAGGTGTAAAAATAAGTTCTCATCGGTTTTTTTTTATGAAAAAAAAAAAACTCATTTCATAGCTTATGTAATATATATGTATATATGTATATAGGTATATATAATAAATTTTCGTTTTCTTTTAAAAAAATATGAATAACGTGAGACCATTCAATCTTTTCGAGTTATTCACAATTTTGCGGTATTGACGATATGAAGAAAAGTTGTGCGCTGAAAAGAGGATAATCCGCAAAAAGAATTTTTATGAAATAAAGCGATAATTGTACCACTTTTCAGAGACTCGGAGCTGAGACATTTTGCTATACCTCGTCGAATTTTATTATACTGAAAGATCGTCCCACAAGGAGTTTTGTGCATATTGTGTTCATTTCTTCTTAAATATCCAAAGGAATGTAATCAATGTCATTGTTGATTGACTTCTACAATGGTGATCTTATACCTATGTTGGATCAGCTTATAATACACTAACTAGATCTGTCTGGTCCCATCAAACATTAAGTGCTGTCTCTTTCGCGAGATGATTGGTCATAGGGGATTAACCCATCATATATTACCATGCAAAAGCGATTTTCGTTTACATCTTTAGAGTAACAATCCATTCGCAACTTTTCAAATCCCCATCTACCTCTCATTGAGCAATTTCCATGACTGCTGGGTGTTTCCATGTAAAATTACATTGATGACGTTACTGCGTCCCATTGTTGTACCATCACTAGTTATTTTTGAGGATCATCTTCATTTCCGGACATTGTTCTCCCATTAAATCATTAAAATTTGGCATATGCCTTGCATTTGCCTATGCAGTATGTTTTAATCTAAACTTTCACAAGAAAACATTCGCTATCTGTTGTGTATTTTTTTTTATATTTTTTTTTTAGATTTAATAAGAAAACTAACGAATGATAGGCATATTATATGAGGGCATCACTGTTAGATTTCCTTTTATGCAAAATTTTAAAACTTGGTACTTTGTTGCAACAAATGCTCACAAATAGGCGACGGTGTCTCGTAGAAAACTGCTAAGGACTTATTTTCACACCTGCTAGACGGTGCCTGCTCTCTCCGCTTTGGAAAAAAGCAATTTTATGCGCTCTTCTCTTACACCCTTAAGTTTCTATATAGTACTATCGCTCTTATACACCCTTATTTATCGAGCAAGCAACGATTAAAGGCAAAATATTATAATACAGAAATTATTATTCATGAAATATGTGACCTTTTTAAGAGCGAACAAGCTTTGTATCACTCTGGACAGAATCCTTGACATCCATCAAGTAGACTCAGTACTCCATACTTCAGCCACCGTACAGTGGCTCCGTTCTTACGTTTACAATGGTATCGTGTATGGTTAACTAGTTTTGAAGGGAACAATATTTTCGGATTTCTTTTCCCAATCATGTCAACTCTTTGACAATTGTGATCTGGGGATATTTTTCGCCTAAGATGCGGTCAAAGTTCGCCCAAGCTTTCTTAGTCCGCTTAACGTCGGCTTCAAGACTAAAATTATACGATTCGGTGTCAATATCCATCTGCAATACTTCTATTATTCGAAAAACATTAGTCAGATCGTCATTGCAACTATACACAGAACAATAGCAGTTGCTATGTCCAAGACAGAAAGCGCCGAAATTTCAAGCAAACCGTTTTGAATTTCTCCCAAGTATTTTCGAAGGGTTCCAAAGAAGAAGAAAAACAATCGATTTTTGGTTTAACCCTAGAATCGCTTAGAGTTACAAAAAAAGTATACAAAGTATAAGGTAGAGTGCGCATGTTATAGGGCTCATGCGCTAGTACAACAATTGTCAACGAAATTTTGCCCGATATACGATATATGATGTATGCGATGCGATACATGATTTGTACTAAGACATGGTGTATGCACTTTACTTTCTACCACAAACTGGTGGTAATTATTAAAAAAGATTGGCTCAAACCGAATAAAAGGCATTTTGGAAAACAATAAAAACATTTTGACAGGCCATGACGCACCGTTAAATGCCCCAACACCATTTAGCTTAATGCCATTTTTCGAATAAATGGTTCGATACGGACCATTTGCAATGGCGTTCGTTTTGATGTATCAAATTTCGTCGAAATATCTCCAAAATTGCGATCTGTACGTTGAACGAACATAAGAGTACAAGACAGACATATAGAGTCAGACAAGCTTATATCGAGTCAGAAATGAAAATGAATCTCAATCGGTCGCAGTATAAAAGGTGCATCCATGTCAAGTCCTTATGCGTGTTGTACACATTCGCACAAACTTACTATATCTTTGTACCATACGTCATACGTGTGGGGTATAAAAAGAAAGATCAAATGACTTTATTCATTCGCCAATTAACGTTTTTTTTTTGATAACAACAGACCAATCGACTATTCACTATTAAAATATCGAATTCCTGTTTTTGTAATGAAATATCGTTACGATGGCAAAACGTTCGACTTAATGATTTAGCTTAATTTGTAGCTAAAATTTCAAGAATTCTAACAAATTAACACTAAGCTAAAAACACTAAAGTATTACTCTGAGTTAATATTGGCTTAGGAGGCCTGTTCAAAATCAAATTTCTTGCGTTATTTTACGTTATCTGTTATGTATAATAAAATGTAATTGTTAATCATCGAGGAATTCTGGAACGCATTTAGCCAACTTTTGGATTTGACATGAGCATTGCAATAAAAGACAATTGAACGTAACTTTGCAAAGCGTCAAGTAATGAACTACTACAAGTAAACGAGAGAAAAATATCGTTTTTTCTAAGAATTGTAAGGTAAGCAATTCGATTTCTGATCTTAATTTGATGGAATTGATAAGAGAAAATATTAAACAATTAAATCCATATGTTGCAGCAGACGGACATGGTTTAAGCGATGGGGTCTCTACGTGCGTTACAAATAGTTGCATCTAAATCTAATCACATATAACACGTGTATATACGTGTACGTATTAAGAGCATTAGCTGGTCCCGGCATATATATTTGATATATATGTTTCACATATGTTTTTTTTTTTCATTGTTAAACGATGGAAACAATTCACGGCCTCAAGAATTTTAAAAAGCATAGCATAGCATAAGAAGCAGAAAAAGAAAATCGTAAAAACGAGAGAAGAAACGAAAATCATTATCGATTCCATTTTATTGTAATTGTTTGGATTATTTGCTGCACTGTATAGTCCTCGCCTATTTCTTTCATTTTATATTTTACAGATCGAAAACTATTTTCTTACACCAGGTGTCAAATCCCTAGAATCATATCTCATTCCATGGTGGTTGCTGATAGGTTACGCAGTAATACACGATATTTTAGATAGATCGCTTTTGGAAGCCGCGTTCTTGCTAAAGCACCAGCACTAATGGCATGTATGTGGACCACGTCTTGTGTCTTCCCTTCTAATGCCTTCATGTATTCAATGTGCCCAAAATTATAACTATATATATATATATGTGGATAAATTAACTAAAGTCACTAAGAAAAGCACTCGTCGGACTATTCTCGGAGCTCCGTGATCGATCTAACATTCGTTCAGCCTTCGCAGTATCTAGCTATACCTGTCGATCTAATTTGAAAATAATCACGGACTAGAAAATCTTCTCCACCTTCTCCATAAGTCAACGATGTACTCAAAGAAGACACCGCTATCATCTCAGCCTAACTGCCTCTTTTTCGACCTATCGGTTTAATTTTAGCGTCTACAGCAGTGCGCCTAGGTTAGAAAAGGAGTCTTAAGAACATTCTCGCGTTGTATGTTCTATGGGAAAACCGGCCACTAGATAGAAGGCTTTTCTCCGAACAGCCCGACCAAGAATGTGAACATTTTGTTGATATCCGATAGGTACTCAACATATGCACGCTATGATGCATGTTAATGCAGTATTACAATACAATTTTCATGCACTCACTTTAGGCGGCGACGCTTCAATCTTCGCTCTAAGGGGATTAGAGAATTCTTTTTCCTTTTTTTTTTTTTGTTTTTTTTTGTTTAAATGCCATAACAACTAACAAAAGATTCATTCTAAGACGGATGCAGGTTTTCTCAGCTTTAAAAAGGAAAAAAAAACAGTAGGGTCATTAAATTCGGCAGTGAACGGATGAATCTTCTTTACGTATCAAATTTTCTCTTAAGACCAACATGGAAAATGAAAAGTCCGACGGTAGTGGAGGATCGTGCAAATTTTTGTCTCTTCATCTGTTGTAGTTTATAAGTAA